CCATCGTACTTCAATTGCTCTCAAAACTTATAATCACTGTGGTTGACATTGATTTTGGTAATCTCGGGGTCTAGGTTTAATTTTTTTTTCACACTTTTAGGGTTTGATTGGATGTATTTTGGGGAGGAATTTTGATTAATTTTTCTAAACATTTTCAAACCTAAACCCCCTCTTCATAAATATGAGATTTAACATTGAATCTAGCTCATATCTATGTTTGGTATGCAATATATATATAGGATTCACGAATATATCATAATTATTAACAATTATTTTTCTTATAAATAACTATTTTACCCTTAATCAATCCAATTCATACCTATATTAAAGGATACAATTGTCTTTTTCATCCTTACCCTCTTAACCTATCTTCCCAAACTCACCCTCTCTTTAGGTTACGTCTAACTCATGATCATGAGTTTAATCTTCGAGCCAGTTACCGGCTGAGTTTCAAAACCAGGAATTGAATTTTTAATTCAAACATAGGATTTGGGGATCCTTTAAATTATTTTTTTCAAACCCATCTTGCTAAGCCTCCATATACCCTTTACCAAACAACTCTTTAAGGGTTAATTACCTTTGTCTTTTTAGGGATATGTTTTAACTTAGCTTAAGTCATGGTGGCTAGTTTCTGAACTCAAAGAAATAATCAGAGTAAGTCTAGACTCCCATTTAAAAAAAAAAATATTAAATTATATAATTATTATATTATTAAGCCAATAAATTAAATCAATTTTTATACGTCAGAGTGGTATTACTTTTACTTCAATTGCCATTTGGACTTGAAGACAAAAGTAAGAGTAGACTTCCTCCATTAGCCAGCTGTTTTGAAATGGAAGCCAACTTTTCTCTCTATGATAAGGTTGTAATTAAGGCTAACCGATAAAGTGATAAGTGATAACTATTCATTGAAAATATATTATATGTTATTAATAATATACATTACTTCTTCATATTGTCATGTAGTACTTTAAACCCACACAAAAATTTATCGGGATTCTTACCGTGTTTAAGTTGTATTGTCTTAAGATTTAATTAATTTATACCCAATACATCTATAATTTATAGTTGAATTTGTTTCGTGAGAAATTCGTATCATGTATAAATTATGTTTAACTCATCGTGTTTATGTTGGCTCATTTATTTGAGAAGTGTAATTATAGAACATTCCAAGTGAGTAGCATCATAAATTAGACAATTGTTTGGTGACATTTTTTAAAAAAATATATATTTTAAATCACAATAAAGCAATTATTCCATGGAGAACTTGTATAAAAAAAGATTTCCTGTAGAGTAACGGCTCTTCTATACCAACTTAGCTGCCCGACGCTACTACCTATATATGCTATTTCAAGTGTAATATAATTAAACTTTAGAATGGAATAAAATTAGACAAGAAAATAAATTAATTAAACAAATAAAATCGAACGGTACCCAAAGAAAACACTTAAAACAAAATATATTTTAAAACCTTTTAGGAATAATATTTTAATTGTGCTAATTAAATTTGAACTCTTTTTCGATTGTCTTTTGTGATGTGACTATTTTTTGTATAAAGTCAAATTGCATCTATGATCACGCGGTGTTAACATCTAATCAAAATATATCAAATAAGTAAAAATGAGATTTAATTTATGTTTTTTATTAAATTGTGATATCACATTTTTTTAATGATGTAATATCACCCTTGTATGGCATATTTTCTCCTCAAGTGCGCGGTCTTTTGAGAGAGAGAGAGAGAGAGAGTATTTGCATGGCTCTTCCATTACAAGTGGCTTTACTGCACAAAAAAGGTGAACTCTAGAATTGCCATTTGGCCTTGAAGACAAAACTAAGTGTGAATGGAATAGTCTTCATCGGTTAGCCACTGGTTTTGAAATGGAAGACCAACTTTTATATATATACACTAATACACACCAGGTGTAATCCATACTTGAAAGTACGATATAACATAAATTAACTGATTAATTTAGAGAAGTGAAGAGTGAAGATCCTAGAAAGAGAGTGAAGAGTGAGGAGATGACGGTAAAATTTAATATAAATTAATTTGAGAGGAATGTTAATGGTCGTTAGATGAATTTATTTAAGACTGTCGGATGAATTTATTGCACGTTCTTGAGTGTGTCTGGAATTATCATAATTAATTGTAAAGAGTATCTCTTTTGGCTGATTAATTTGTTCATTTTTGATTGATTAGCAGAGTTTTTTAGAAATAAATTTGTCACCTGCATTTTCTCACCTTTTAAATAAATATAATGTTCTTTAGGCTGTGGATTACTTTTTGGGTATCAAGTGTAAAGGGAGTCAAATTTTGGGGTCGGAAATGAGAAGATGAAAAGTTTAATCACACATATCTGTATATATGTGATTAAATTGAGAAGAATAGAATAAGTCTGAATAAGGAAATGACAAATAAATAAATAAACGTACAAAAAACAAACGCTGCTTAAAAGAATAAAAGAGATACACAGACCAAAAAATTTAGGAAAATGTTACCAAACAATACACTAATTAAACTCCGTACTCTTTTCGACCGTCTTTTTTTATGCAATTACTAGGGATAACTTGTACCTGAAGGTACGTTGCACTATAAATGATTTTGAGAGAGATATTAGTGGCCGTTAGATGAATATATTTGAAACCGTAGGATGAACTTATTAAAACCTGCGCTATTTTAAATTATAGATTATTAAGTTGTTAAAATTAATTACTTGAACTTCTAAAGCATCATATTCATTTTTTTTTTCTGGTATTAGGTCAATGTGAATGTGATCATCTGAAAATTCTTGGTTGATAAAAGATTATTATTTTTCTTAGGGTGTAATATAGTAATAAGCACACAAGTATATACTTTGTGTTGCTTTGGTTCTCTTTTTCTTTATTATGTTGCTTTACTCTATCAAGCTTTTAATTTTTATGCTTTGGCCCAGTCGAAAAACAAAGTTTAATTTGACTAACTAGACAGTTAAGTGTATCTGTGACCATACTTGAGAGGCATTCGTTAAAAACTTAAGGAACTAAAGCAAATATACAAATTATTAAATTGACAGATCAAAGTGACACAAATCGTAAAATTCAAAAACTAAAGTGATTCTTCATGTGTGGTCATGTGAAACGAACATAAATTTTTCTGTTAGACAACTTCTTTTTTATTGGCAAGAAACGGTATGTTTTATTGATACAGAATATTATAAAAAAAGAAGAGGCAACACAAAATTCGGAACACCCTCTCGCTATACAATTGAACCCTCAAGAAACTTCGCATATTTAACTAAGCTCAACCTCACTCTATTACCATTTTTCCGGACTATAATTATATCGTATTAACTCGAACTTCTGAGTCCAAACATCACACTATCCAGATTTGTCACACTGGTTTCCGTATGTTCCTCAGTATCCAAAGCCTTAATAGATTTCATTTAAGGGACTAAAAATGACAAGTGCAAAAATATTACCAAACTTGGTCCCATAATCGATTACATTGGTAAGATGTACATAGCAACAAGTAAGCAAAAATAAATTGGTGTGGAAATAGTTCCAATTTTGGAACTTTTTTTTTTTTTTTTTCTGAGTGTTATCTTGTTATTAAGCATTGATGGTAAATACACAAGAAGCAAAACGGCATCATAAATTTATGGGGCTAAACTTTTTTCTTTTGATTGCTTTTCTCTACAATTTTTATTATATTTTTTTTCTGTCTTTTTTAAAATCGTCTAGACATATATATCACTTTGTCGTATACAGTCAATTAAACTATCATTTT